TTTGTGTGGTGAAATTTGCGACAGAATCAAACATGGTTCTGTTGTATCTTTTTCGGCACTGCACAAGTATCCAAACCGCTTTAGCTATCGAAATTCTTTCAGTGAGTTGTGATTAATCTCGAGACAGCGGAGAGCAATATTGCTAAAAGTACTTCAGTTGGTGTGGTGCCTGTTTGTGCTATGGATTCAATGACAATTTTTAATGTCACTTCCTTTCTTCCCTTCATCTTTCCTTCCTTCATTTGTGCAGTGATACTGGAAGCTGATGGACATTTTATAGCGGGTGTACTTCGTGCGTTGATTGCCTTTTTGTGGCCGAGTTTGGCCCAGAGACACCAAGCTAAAGTGTCAACTCATCAATGTTAGTCAGTTTTGAAGGACAGATGTGATTTGTCAGAATCTGCATTGACCCCATCATTGATCATTGTGCAAAACTGAAGATTACAGCGGAATTCGGCAATGATGTGGACTCAACTTTCCTTCAGTTACGCTTTGTCGGGCCACCCAATCGGCAAAGGAAAAGTCCTTTCCTCTTAGTTGCGATTCTCTGCAGGCCCTAGGTGGTTGGGAAGTTGTTTGCTTGTGTGTCAGCCAAATGGCATGATACTGTAGTAGCTACTCAGTTTTGTTAACAACCAAAAAGCAAATAGTTTTGAAAGTCAAATGCATTTGCCCCGGTTTGATTTGAAGGTACGGTGACTTCTTAAGCGTTTATCGATATTTACTGTTAATATGGAAGAAACTTGCAGATAATGTACAGTAGCCTAAGGGATTGATGAATGAATGGTTTTGCTAAGAAAAGAAAAACTCGCTACGTAGGGTACATGTTTACGCTCCTAAGCTAGTTATTTATTCTTGTTTCCCTAGATCCCTGTCTAGTGCCTAACGGGGTGCGTTTCGTTTCTGACAGTTCCAAAGGCATGCTTGGCTTCTTTCCTGGTGGCTGCTCCAGGTGCTAAGATTTCTTGTCCAGCGACTCAGTCGGAAATGTCAGGTGGATGTCTTTGTCCTGCTAGTGCTTCCTTCCCCTCTCCTTCTTGAGACAAATTCCATGTGCTTGATTGTCTGCTGACAACTGTTCGAACCACTTCGAGTGATAAGACTGTGGTCATTTTGAACTACGCACAAGCGTTGGATTTGTTTGAAAGTGAGCTTTCGCTTGCATTGATATCTGCATATTTGCTTTGGCTTATCTTGTAATGGACAAGTAGGTCAGTAACTCCTGTTTTCCACGAGGTTTTACTCATCCACTGTCTATGTCTTTAGTCTTTAGTATGCGGGTGATTAAAGTTTTAAAGTTGTTCTTTTCCCATTTTTTTTGCCTAACTGATGCCGAAATTTGTTTCCCGATGGATGAATGCGAAGGAATGCCTGCTCTTTAGTTGTTGTCGGGCATTCTCCTTTGGCATTGGGCTTTTTGACTATTTGATGTATTTTAATTCCCACGGGAAAGCTACTATGCTTTGAAATGAAAACAATTGTTTGGGGTGACTAATCAGAGAGGCTTGGGCTCCTATCGTAAAGCATGAGACTTTTTGCATTTCGCACTCATCTCTTACTGTGCAGTCAAGTAGGTTGATTTGATTTTTTAGAAGAGAATTTGTGTGATCGAAATTTTTTGAGAAAAGGTCGTCGGTTCCTTGTGTAGTTATTTGGTGCTTGGCTTATCTGTGCGGTGACTTCAATCACTGCAGGATGACTTTCGTCCATGCTAATAGCCCAGTGCTTTTGCACGTTAGTAAGTACTACATCCTTTGATGCCACTTTGGTTTACTACGACTCCGAGAAGCTATACATGCAATCGTTTAGCAGTGTTGGGTTATTCACCTCCTCCCTCTTCTTGAAGACCTTTTTTATTACGATGAGTTCAGACAAATTGTTTTTCACCACTAATGCAAATATCAGCTTTCAGAATAGAGAGCCAATGTTTCCAATTCCATCGTGGCTTTAGGTCTTCTCTCTTTGAAGACATCAGGACATCTCTATTTTGCATTTAACAACTTTTGATTGCTTCCTGTCACTTCATCGAGGTCATTGTGTGTTTGGCGCATATTAATCTCTCGCACTGTCATAATTTTGGTTTCTGCTTTGCCTTTCAATTTTTACGTGACCACGATCGCATTGTTGAGGGGCAAACTGATCCGCGTATCGCTCTGTTTGGTTCAAATTGTCATTGAACCTGAAACCCGCCAGTTTTTAGCTGGAGTAAATATTTACTGAAAAGTGCTAAGAAAATCCTGTCATCGATGGGGTGTCCAAGAAGTTTATGTAGTTTTTTTGGCATAGCTTATTGTGAATTGTGGTTAGTTTTGTGGCATGGACTTGTGACTTCCCATCGGTGCGATACCATTTTTCGTTTACCCGATTTTTTATATCCCAACAACAGTTATCCTAGTTTACCTGTTCAATGTGACATGTGTAACTTGGGCCTAAAATTACGAAAACCTCCCTAGATTTAGTGTATAGCATTTGGTAATGTGGCACATGGTGGTGGAACTTGTTGCTGCAAATGGTATGGTCTAACCACTTTGGTTCTCAAATTGTGGCAAACGAAATTCAAGGCTAACTGGTGCAGAGCAACTTTCCATGACAATGCAATTGCTTACACCTGCATGGACGCGAAAATGGTTTCAGACTGCTGAAAATCTTACACGTGGGAAAATCTACGCATTCTAATGGAAGAGAAGGAGGAGGAGATGTAACGTTCCTTCTTCATTCTCCATATTCCCTGATGGTACACCTTCCTCAGAATTTTAAGTTTTGGAACGGTTTTACTGTACTGTCTTTCAAACTTGTTTTTAGAAGAAGTGTAGCTGGAAAGCAGCTTTTTCTTATCAGTGGCTTATCTCCTTCGTTTTATTCGTTTAATAAGTGATTTTAACGAAATATTCGCTGGCCACACTTCCTGTTGCTAAATGACTTGGAGTCTCCTGCAGATAAGTATGACCACGAGTATGGGCGCCTTCTTTCACCAGAAATTTTGTTCATCATTGCACGGCGATGTGCATGCCAACCACAACCGATGTGCACAATCTTGATAAAGGGTGTCAGACCGGGTCTGTTCCATGCACGACGTATGCTAGCCACTACTTCCTGCGGTAGTGCTGCATCATGGCTCCTTTTATTGGTGCAGCACTAATGGTTCTGCGTGGACTACATTGTTTATAGCATTTAATGAGGCTTTTCCAACGCGAGCTTGTTATCTTGCCTTTGCAGGTTCAGAAGTCCGCGCTGCGTGAATCGAGTGCACAGGCAGGTGCCTCACCCGAAGTGGATTGTAATCGCGAGTTGTCAATGTGGGATCATTACTACCACCACATTGCGTTCGAAGACTACGTGTTGAAGGTGGTAGGAGACGCTAGATTGATACATTTTATCTTCTGACAGCTGCCCCACTTCTGCTCACTAAATCTCCCCTTTGAAGCTGTGCTGACGAATGGACAATTCTGTGTAGTTCTTCAAGGGTTTGTATTTGTAAATTTTCATTGTGTGCCCCCTTAATTGCGTTTTTGAGGAATTTGAAGAAAAGTATGATGATAATGATCGATTGGCCTGTTGATCACAGTGGACGAGGCATTTGACTTAATGCCGTCTGCTGCGACGTTTTGGATAAGGCAATGTCACCTGTGATATCGGTGATTAAGTGTCTTTTCGGTGCGTAAGTAACGAATTTTTTTCTAAACTAGAAAAAGCTAAACTAGAAAAGCTAAAGTTGTCTTTCGCTCCCATAGCCCGTAAGCGTCGGTCTGTAGTGGTTGAACACTTCGATTCACAGGATGGCTCATTTGGGCTTCACAGATTGTGCCCCCACTCTGTGGCACAGTCTTCCGACAGTGCTTAGCACTACCTAGTGCTTCCTCTGTAATGCGTTGATTGTTTGCAAAGGAGTTAGTTGAGCGCTCCATCGTTGTGCTTTAGCCAGGTAGACAGGCCTTTGGGCTATGTCTTAATGGCGTGCTCAGGAATAAGATTCTTTACGAACAATTAATGGTAGATTCATGTATGTGTCGACTTCATTTGAATTACTGAGACTAGGTAAAGGTATAAACGTGAATATGAGAAGATGACCTTTGCAGTAGTGACTCGATGGCTGGCATGGTTAGCCAGTGGGCGTTTTCTCTACAGCACCGATTACGTTGATGGCTGACGCCAGAGTTTAACTAAGGGGAGGGCCGGGGACGATGCTTAGCTCTCGGTTTTGGCAATGCACCATGCCAGCAGCCCTAGCCCGAGCACTATGTCTTCCGTCAACTTCAATAAAGTCTCAGGGCGCTACAGTAGTACCTGGAATGACCTTGACCCATTAGTGAGTATTTGTACGCATAAGTTGGCTCTATGTGACATTGACCAATGGGAAGGCCTCAACAAAAGCGCAAATCAAGCAACCTTTTCAAATGTCTGTAGACTCAACTTCTGAACATATATACATAGTCATATGTAGTAACTTTAACGCCTAGGGATGATAATCTGTAGGAGAAATGAGCGGTGAATGCGGTGTCACCTCTCCTAATATCCTACATTTCGGTCTACTATTTCCTCACCGACAATAGAAATGCATAAGCCGTAGCGACGATGCAAAAACTTTCCCAAAGAGGTCACAGCCATTGTCAGGCTTCAAATATGCAAGTGGGACTGCACTTAGAAAAAGGCCAAAGACTGCACAACGCTAGGAATGTGGGAATCTAAGCACGTCATCTAGCTTTCTAGTTCAGCATTTATATGTCAAAACGGTCACTGGTTGACTAGGTCTGGGTTTACATCGAGAAATAGCTGGGACACTGAAACAGCAATATTGAGGTGGTTTGATGCTGCCTACTTTGGGCTTGAATTGTTCCAGATTGGGTGCAAAAAACCAGCTGGGCATTTTGACGAAAGTAGTGCGCTCGGTATCCTAAGAGTTGCCAGTTGTCTCAGGAAAGAAGTAGTGGAAGTGCGGCACGGCGGCGTCGAGACTGACAAAGCGCTTCACCTTTTGAACCGCCAATATCCTCGCTGATGCAGTCGCAGGTGTGGAAGACCCAGTGCTGACGCGGCTCCTTGTCCGAGCGCAGCACCTGCACTCTAACAATTACAACGGTAACCATTACATATTGTTCAACCACTAGCAATTGCGTCGTATGTGGAAGGGATGTGAAGAACAAGGAAAATTACAGTGACTACTACAGTTACTAACCACCAACCATCACCACACGCATGCAGGATTGGGGAGGCATTCCTTCCTGTGATAATCATCCGCCTCGATGTTGGAGTCCGCCAGACTTCTACTTTGGCAATGACTAATATGATTGGAGAACCATTGTTATTCAAGTCCACTTATTTTTTCTTTAACACAAAGTTGAATATACTAATCAGGCGGATGCACGAACACTGCGGATCTAAGCAATAAGTGTGTTGTCGACTTTTGGGAGGGGAAGAGGAATTAAACTGATGTGTAATGAGAGATGGAGAGACTTTAAGAGGGGTATAAATGGCTCAGTCGTGGCATGATGACAGTCAGATGTCTGGGACTGGCAGCAAATTGTATCAAAAAGTAAGGGTCTATTAATCCACAGTTTATGCACCTTAGAGCAAGCAACAATTGTTGCAGGGAATGCACATTGAATACTCAGCATTTCATTCAATAGCCTCTAAACATCTGAGTGCTCTTGCCATGGAATCCTCGGGCATAACTACATTGATGGCTGCTAAAGTCACTTCAGTCATGGTGATAACAAGTCTCTCATCTGTGATTTGGGTTTCGGTTTACATGACATGGCGTCCGCCCCTTCACGCTATCGTCTGCTATTGTCGCCACCTGACCTTAAACCTGAAGTGAGCAATAGAGCCTTGAAAGCGTATCTGCACGTGATTTCTGATAAAGAAGCACTAGTGAGGCACAGCACGATTCCTATAATGCTTGGGCAACTAGCTACAAAGAAAGGCTTCTGAGAACCTGACAAAGGTGTTTTGAGATTGAAGGCGCGTCCACCACCTCTATTCCAATTGCTGCGGTTGCGCAAGGCCATGGATCCCGTGCCACCTTACATCGAATGGAAGGGGAGAACAGCGTTCCGGTTCTTTCTGCTCGCAATGGTCCATTTTTACGCTGAAAACCGCATTTGGAGTCATGCCAACGTTGCTCATCTCATCCCAGTCGATCGACAATCTCCACAGCCATCCACTACTTCCCAATCTGTCATCTTCAGAATTTCCCTTTGCTACCACACACAACGCTATATTCTACTGCTAACTTCCTTACACATACCCAATCCTGCAGTTTGGGGCTTCAACTCTCCACCTTGAGTCACTCTTGCGAATGGTATTATGAAGGCTAGATATCAAGAAAAGTAGCTTTAGATTGGAAATGCTGATATGTGAATTTGGAATATGCGAGGCCAATCAAACTTTCCCGCTTGTGGCACTTGACAATCTCGCTCTTGAGCCGACTGGAACCAATTAAGTAAACGGTTCCATGCTGAGGTGATGATGAACCGGACTTCATGGCCTTGACGAAGTCTGGAAATTAAATCACATCTGCAAGTTTTAAAGCACAAATTAATATTTCCTGCAAAATAGCTCTTCAAATAGATTTGAGTAGAAAATGCGCATTCGATAAGGTCATTTCGTAGGCAGTGAGCACGAGATGGGGGCTCTCATCTTAACGCCTCTTTAAATGATTTCGAGCTACAGTTTAATTAGTATCAGGTATTATTGTTGCACTTCTTTGAACACACGAAATGGGAAACGAGAATCTCGTGAAAAAGCCACGGTTTAAATCAACTACAGTGGGGATAATTTGAGGCAACAATTTGCGCGTCGCACAATTTCCTTGACTTGCATCCCACTCGTGTGGTTTCCATGTCAAGTATTTGCAAGTATTCCTACAAAACATCCAAGCCTCTGGCGCTAGTCGGATTTGCCCCTTTTCTTAAAATGAACTGACCCACTCAATTTACATGAGCAGTTTTTCTGTGTGAATGAGGCATAATAGGCTTATTGAAATGAAACCGGAACGCCAGTTTTATTCACTCCCTCAACTACATTCACACACGACGAAAAAACCACTCTCATCTAAAATTTATGAGTGCTACAATTTTATGCCGATTACACTTTCTTACGCTCGCAATGCGTGTTCAACAGTAGGTCTATTTCAAAGGCCTGATGGACGAGGATGCTCAGTACACTAGCATGAGATGATCCTCTAACCAATGCATAGGAGGGCAAGGCTACTTGCAGTTTGAGTGACTCGATCAAGGCCAACCCTTGGAAATCTCCAACTTTTATCTCATCACTTGCAATTTCACACTTATTCACCGACAAAACCGATTCGTAGGGCATACAACGCCTGGATAAAATGGGAGTCATAATGCGATGTATACTTGTTACTTGGAAATCTATGTCAGCATCCTCATTGAGATGTAGCGGCGATGTTTGAATTGCGAGCCTCATTAAGCATATTTCACAGTCCAAATCATAGGACTTATGAGGAATTATGGTGAAAAAATAACCCTAAGGTGGTAAAAACCACAAACCTTTTCCATCAAATTATTAAGTGAATTATTTCAACACAGCGTTCCTCCGCAGGTATGCGTTAGCACATTAACTGGCTGGACAAGCATCTCTGTCAGATACTTTTCTCACAACTTTCACCAACTTTCAAAATTGCCTCTGCAGCCATCCGATACCGCAAAGAGCACTTTTATCCAAGTCTGGTCTACATCAAGGCCAAAAAGCTGTACAATTTCATCTTTTGCCAGACCTCGACGCGGGTACGATGCCGTATGGGGGATGTGCACTTCGGTTCAAAGCACCGCACGTCGCATTTATCAATTACTTCTCAACAAACAAGTCGCCACT